TTCCGGAACAAAAACTGATATTGACGAAAATTCATCTTGGAGTGATCTTCGACCCCGATTGAATTCACCATACTACCGATAAACACTAATCCTTGATGGAGCTTCATCGCCAAAAAAAAGTCAATCCATGTCGAAAGTTATAAAAATAAATTCGCGCGAAAATAATTACATATTTTGACCGAGACGAATATTATAAGTTACTATTAACAGCATACATAAATATGGACCAAATTCTATTCCTAAATATAAACTACATTGAACAATCTACTCTTCCTTCAGAAGAATTAAGGGGAGGTTTCGCAGGGTGGTACCCTCTCCCAACTACTGTTTAATTACTACATCTCGACGCACATCGAACGATCAGAGGGAATTTCCATTACTTTACTTCTGATAATTGCACGAATTCAATACCATATGCACTGGTACCGGTGACATTTGTTTATAAGTGAGCGTTTATCTTTTCTCACTTCCTCAGTACAACGAACTCTCCCCTTCTAAATCCACAGCAATCATATTTACAAATTGGTTGAAGAAGTATGAACACGATCGAAACATTTGTAGCGATAACTTTATAAATCTGCCAATATGTCAAAAATGTAGGTGTAATGTTTGATATTCTATACCCCTTCACTAGGCATACGACTGCAAAATTATTGTTTATTTTTCGGATCACAGCACTCGCTATCGAATACACACTTTCGTAATTCCAAATTTCGTCATACGATAGCGAGTATTCGTTCGTACAAAGAAATCGAAATCAGACTCGTAAGCTAATTTTAAAACGTAAGAGTACGAATTAAAAAAAAAAAAAAAATAAAATAATCAGTGGCAAAATGTAAGCGTTTTTTCTGTTATCGATTATAGTTAACATATATGTATTACAATTATAACTAATGATTTAATGCCCATGTTAACAAAATTATTATGCGGCAAATACTTTTATTGCGTAATTCCTATAGTTTTAATGAATTCTATATAAACGTTCAATAAATGTGAATATTTACGTTTAATTCCAATTTAAACACTTCTGTGTTTTGTTTTCGTATTTGAATTCGTAAATGTCATTTAGAACAATATCACGAAAGTTATGGCATGCAATTTCTATTAGTTTCGTATCGAGTTCGGCGATCGGCTACTCGACACGTTACGAAATTTCGTTGTAGTTGTAGCGGCAGAACTCTGCCGAGTTGACAGTCCTTGGCCGGATAAAAATCCGGGTCCGTTCCGGTTACGTAGACCCGATTTTCGTGGGAACGGGCGAAAATTAACTCGATACGAATGCTCGCACGCTCACGACTACCACGATTTCAGCCCTGGAGTAGGGATAAAGAAATGCGACTGGCTGGACTGAGAAGGTAACCGGCCGGCCGGTCAATCATAAACTTAATTCAGCAAGAGCCAGTTGAAGGTGTTACAAACCTAGTGGCAGTTAATATTGCGATTTCCCGAAAACAGGATTTAGATATCAGCTGCTACAACAATAACGATTCCTAAAACCTCAAAAGTATAAGATTTACTCTGATAAAACAAAAAAATTTGTTTCTTTGATGAATTCTCGATTAAGTAGTCTGATATAGCAAAACCGTTGCTCCACCAAATGTTAATTGAGCATTGTTTTTTAAATTTAGTGTATATACGAATGAATGACTTCTTTTGTTATTGTTTTTTTTTCTTATGAAAGATTTTCAAATGTTATTTTGCCTATTTACAAGAAGGATGAAAAAAGAATAAATTGGAAAGCTTTGTTTTTTTTTGGCAAATTGCATAGTTTTTTAATGAGAAGTAAAAATATAGTCTCAAACAAAATACAAGGTGCGTTCCAAAGTAAACAGTACAAAAGTAACAAAGTAAACTCAAACATATATATGCCGACTAGTGCGTTAGAATCTGCTATCCTTTATCGACTTCCAGTAAAAATTTCATGACATTTCATCTATTGGAAGTTAAGTTATTGCATTTTAAGTGACAGGATGTTTTTGTCATCGTTGCGAAAATGAGCTTCGAACAAAGAGCCAACATTAAATTTTGTTTTAAAATTGGTAAAACTTTTACCGAAACGTTTCAATTGATTAAACAAGTTTATGGCGATGATTTTCTATCCCGTAGCAGAGTGCACGAGCGGTTTCAACGTTTTCAAAGTGGTCGTGAGGACATAAATGAGAAATAAGCCGAAACCTAAAAAATCGCGCCTGCAGAAGTCAAAAGTGAAGACAATGCTGATTTGTTTTTATGATTCCAAGGGTATTGTCCACAAAGAATTTGTTCCACTCGGCCAAAACGTTAATGCGGTATTCTACCTTGGAGTTTTACGGCCCGAATATCGCGAAGATGGACGTTGGCGTTTATTACACGATCATCGATCGACGCTTGTGGCCGATTATTTGACCAAAAATCAGATTGACCATCAAAATCATTCTGCTAACTATATATTTCGAAAAATTAAAAACATGGCCAAGAAAAATAAAGAATCTTATCAGCCAAAATGCATTAGTACAAGTGTAGCTACTGCTCCATTGAAGGGAGGTACTACTACAAGCAAGCAAGGTTAAAAACCCCCATTTACCTGCGTAGTGAAAAATGCTAACAAAGTCCATAACATATGTTGTTAGTGATATTACCGGCAATATTTCCTGGATACTTAACCGGGTCGACAGCAAAACGAAAATAGGGTACATATATGTAACCCAAAAAAATTATGACATGAAATGGCTTACTCCAACATAGAAATGAGTTAAAGACATTACTCCATCTTGAGGCTTTCGTTAAGTTCAAAATACGCTACTTCCTCAATATAAACTGAACAATTTAACTAGGCATCTCAGCAACCAAATCAAAAAATTTACAAATCAAAACATTTCAAACTACATAAAAATCCAGACTACTCTCTTTGGAAAGCTCGTATTTAAGGTCGGTCGAAACATGGTATAAAAAGGCTACTGGCTTCAACCTGATAATTGCCAATGTAGTAAAATTCTATCGCGCACTGACACCAATAACACAAGTCCGCACAAGAAAAAATTAACATTTTTGATTTGTTTGCTTTACTCCTATGGTTTTGGGTGTGCTGACTGCGAAAATTCATCATAGAACGTCAAGTTTTCAGACAATGTAGATATCAATTTTTATTATTTTTTAGGATTTGCATTTGCAACATATCGTTTAACATCTCCCCATAGGTTTTCAATTGGATTTAAATCCGGAGACTGCGCAGGCCATGACATATGATCGATCCGCTTTGATGCCATCCAGCTTTTGACCAGTTTGCTTGTATGTTTGGGGTCGTTATCTTGTTGAAACGTCCATTTTAGTGGCATTTCCCAATTCACATAAGGAAACATAACATTTTCTAATATGTTAACATATACAGATCGATCCATCATCCCATCAATCATGAATAAAGGGCCCACTCCACTGTAAGAAAAACATGTCCATACCATAATACTCAATTCGCCGTGTTTAACTGTCTTCAAAGTGTACCTAGGATCATACTCTGTGTTAGGTGGACGTCTGACATATTGTCTGAAGCCCTTTCCACCAAATAACATTTTACTTTCGTCACTCCATAAAATATTTCGCCACTTTACAATGGGCCCATTAAGGTGACTTTTGGCGAACTCCAAACGTGCATTGACATGTCTGGTGGCTAACAGTGGAACTTTTCGTTCCAAGCTTAAGTAATTTTTTATCTTGCTGGACGGTCCTCATGAGGCGTGGTTTTACGTCGGATACCACGATTTTCGGGCATTTCTTTAAAGTTTAAAGCATTATAAATCATTTTAGCAGAACATCTACATATTTCTTGGATGTCTTTATACGTTTTTCCCAGGTTTCTTAGTTGCACTATAATATTTCTTTTTTCAGGAGTACAATGTTTGCCCCTGCCCACTAAGTTAAAAAATATAAATTTATTTTAGTGTTTTCTAATGTTCATAATAGTCACTGACACAAAACCACTTACTTTTTATCAATTAAACGTCTTAACAAAATTTTTTTAGCTTATTAAGATACGCACTGCTATTTTAATGAACAGCCAAAGACTGGTGCTTCTAGCAAAAAGAGTTGTTCATTTGCTTAAATCTCGCAAATCTAACGGGATTTTTTCGTTTCTTCCTTATACACATTCCATTCTACAACAACAATGCGTAGACGTTGGAATAATCGTAACGGAACTTGAAAAAAAATAACATTACTTGATTGCATTTCTCGCACTGCAATTTTTGTGAACACAGCTGTACATGCATTAAAAATCACTTAAAACAATTTGGCTATGTTCAAAAACTCGATACATGGGTTCCTCACGAATTGAAAGAGACGCATTTAACGCAACGCATTAACAGCTGCGATTTACTAAAGAAACGAATGATAACTGGCATTGAAAAATGGGTTGTTTACAACAATATCGAGCGGAAAAGATCGTGAAGCACCCCAGGTAAACCAGCTCAAACAACATCAAAAGCTGGTATTCATCAAAAGAAGGTTTTGTTATCAGTTTGGTGGGATTATAAAGGAATTGTCTACTTTGAACTCTTACCACCCAACCGAACGATCAGTTCTGTTGTCTACATTGAACAACTAACGAAATTAAACAATGCAGTTGAAGAAAAGCGGCCCGAATTGATAAATCGAAAAGGTGTTGTATTCCATCATGACAATGCAAGGCTACACACATTTTTGGTCACTCGGCAAAAATTATTCGAGCTTGGTTGGGATGTTTTGCCTCATCCACCATATAGTCCTGACCTTGCACCATGGGATTACTTTTTGTTTCGATCTTTACAAAACTCCTTGAATGGTAGAAATTTCAATAATGATGCTGATGTCATTGAAAAAGGTCATTGATCAAAATGGGCAATACATTATAGAATAAAATTTTTTAGTTCCATGAAAAAATTTTCTTTGATTTAAAAAAAAAAATTCGCAATTACTTAGTTGCCAGCCAATATGTTAAGTCATAAAAAAAAGATAAAACACTAAAAAAAATGTTTATTAATACGCAATTATTTGTGTAACAAAATTTTTTATTTTATATTATTATTAGTAAATACTAATCACATTTATTTTTCCCAGTGAGACTCCTTTTGGTACATTTTCGCTTGTAGGAAACATCTGGAAAGTCTATGAAACGTCCAATAATAGTCTGTCATCATTGACACACTCCATCTTCCCTGCTATCTTTTTCCCATTTCCTTAATATCTTGGTGAAGTCCTAAGAACTATGACACTAAGTATTAGAGGCAATTTTCATCTCTTGGAAGTGACTTAACAAATTGCTTCATCAATCCCAACATTATGTGAAGCGGAGGTAGAAGAACTTTATGGGGAGACACCAGAGGCACCAAAACAAAATACAAGGGAATTTGGTAAACCCAGATTGTTATCCGAGCAACGAGCTGATTACCCATTGCGGTATGAAATTGACTGCTTGCGTTTTTAATTATACCCTTTCAATTTACACGAATAAAAGTAACAATCATCACTATGGTTCTTTTGCTTGCGCCATACCATAGGAATCGCATATCAGAAAGCTAATACTAAACAAATATAACAGAAACTGTCAAATAAATTAACACACCGCACAGATGGCATTTTAATTTTAAACCAAGATATATAAAACGGTGACGAGTTTTCACGTTATTGTACCGCGCGTTAATATCGTCTATTCGAAATGAGTCATTAAAGATATACTTTTGAGCTGCGCCGAAATATGTACTCTTTATTGATATTCATAACACTAACTTGTTACCTAGATCTTACTGCTATTTATACTAAATGCTATGTTTACTTATTACTAGTTGATAGTTTGTTTACATACATATTATATAACATATTGTTTGCTTTACTATATTTCCTTTGTTTTAAGATTAGGTTTTGATGTATTTTGTTCAATGTTGTTTTGATACATTATCTTGGTTCAAAGATAAGGTTGTTTTGATGCTTGTTTGCTTACGATATTTTGGTGATATAATGTTATAAATAACACGTTCCTTAACTCGCGCCACTGCCAACACTATCGGAGCGTACGTCCCCATGTCATGGAAGGTATCCGAAATCATTATGATACAAAAACCTAGAAAAAGCGCATATGAAACCTCGTCATATAAAGTTAAAAATCATAAATTGAACAACTTCCTGATGTTCCTTCGGGAAGGGAAAAGTGACAACCGCCAAACACAGAAAAAAGTGAAAAAATTACAGCATAGCTCTTGTCGCTTTAAAATATATGTCAAATCTAAAATATTTTTGCATAGCTCGCAAAAATCTTCGTTGATATGTATGCATGCTCATACATAAACAAACATATTTATGATGGTTTGTAGGTAAAGCTGTTGTGCACAATGTTGTGACCCTTTGTCGTCGCGTCAGTCCTTCGACACATTTACTCTTTGACATGAAAACAAAATACATAAGCTTCGGCCAATGGTTGTTCGTCTCAATTTGGTTTGTGCATGAAGCAATGACTGTACATACATACGTTGCATGTAAACAAATTATCAAATGTCACAATAAACGTCCAAACTAACCGGGAAATAGTAAAATCTGTCGGTAGAAGTAGGGCGCTGTAACCGGTATTTTCCATATATTTTCATAGGATGGCTTGTCTTTGTGTTTAGTGTTTTACTTGTGTAACAGTGAAGTGAACAATTAGAAAATGCTCCACACTTTATGTGCAGGGCAAAGAAAATAAGTTATTTATAATATTTTATTGTTGAAAGATTAATTGGCGCCCAACATGGGGCTGCAGTGTTAAAATTATTCAGGAATAAAATTCTTAAAGGAGCAGTCAAAAGAAAGGACATAGTCCTATACAAAATAAAGGAAGTAAAACATATAAATAGTGGAAAATAATAAAATAGGTATACAAAAATGGCAACAGCAGCAGACTATAATGCATTGCAAACCATCATAACAGAATTACAACAGCGGCTGGCGATAGTGGAAGTAGAAATTCTAGTACCCCAGTTCCTGTAATTGAACAATTATTCAACTACGTAAATCCAATCGAAGTAGACTTAAACATTTTCCCGAAACTGGTAAAAAAAATTCCTTACACTAATAGATACAATTAAACAATTGGAAGGATTTAACATACATATATGCCCCAGCATTAATAATTGTCAGAGGAAATCCTAAGCAATGCAGCCCAAATCAACGTCCTGGAAGAGGAGATGATGAAAATTAGAGAGTATAATAATTCCCTCCACGTGTACTATGTCCAACTAAATCAGGCATTGCATGTGATTCTTTCAAAAATTGAAATGACTCACAAAAACAAAAATGTAGCTAATGCACTAACGAAAGAAATACATAGCATAGCATGTACGATGCAACACGACTCGCATTATCACCAACTCGAATACACATAAAAAATATGAGCTCACCATTTACTTCCTCCAAGACACAAATATAATTAATTAAATCACATAAAAATACATTAGACTCAACCACACCTTTTCCTAAACACGAACACTTTGTGATACGATTCACTACGTTATACTATATAATCGAAATTGCAACAAGAGTTATGGAACCAAAAGTAATGACAGCATTTCACACAGATTCAGAAACATGGCATGAAATACGCACTACATTAAAAACAATATTTGAAGCTTTTCCAGAGGTATTCACACAACATAAGCTACATGACATCACAGCATCTAGGAATGCAAAAAACAATCAAAATATTAGAAACCTGTGATTGGACACCCTAAAAACATACAGAAAAATTAGTACGCTACTGCGTAAACCGTATAGAAAATAAATATGAACAAAAACCACTAAGACACGTATTAGGCAAAACACCTACACCAAATTTAGCAGGTACTTTAATACATATGGATGTATTTCACATACAAAACGTACAATATCTCTAATGTATTGATAGGTACTCTAAATACGCTTATCTACGAAAATTGGACACGAAACTACATTTTCATGAAATACTCGATGAAGTTATCGCTCAAATATTTCCTCTCTGCAACGAAAACATGCTACAAATAAAACATACACGAATAGCACACAACCATTCAACCTCTAACGCACAAATCCATAAAAACAGCGCCAGCGCTATTCCTTGACGTCTACAACACCTGCCTGAAGGAAGGGACTTTTCCTCGAAAGTGGAAACAGCATCGACTGGAGCTACTCCCCAAAGGAAAAAAAAACCCCAGAAGAACCGTCTTCTTACCGTCCACTTTGCATGTTAGACACAGCGAGTAAAATAATCGACCGTATCATTCATCAGAGAATTGAAGCAGTAGTCGATCCACTCCTAGCAGAAAACCAGTCGTCCGAAAAGGACGATCAACCCTGGATGCAATCAATCTGGTTGTTAACACGGCCAAGGAGACAATTGCACGAACCAGGTGGAAGGGTGGTACAAAGAAGTATTGCCTGGGAGTCGCCTTAGACATCAGAAATGCCTTCAACTCCGCCAACTAAGACTGGATCATGCAAGCTCTCCGAGAGAAAAAAGTGCCAGAATATCTGTGTAAAATAGTGGCTAGCTACTTCACAGATAGAGTCCTAAAATACGACACGAGGAATGGTCCAAATGAGTACGATATTACCGGAGGCGTACGCCAGGGATCAGTACTTGGCCCACTTCTATGGAATATCATGTACGATGGCCTACTAAGACTGAAACTGCCAAAAAGCGTCAAACTCGTAGCATATGCGGGCGATGTAGCCGTAATGATCAACACGAAACACCTTGACCACCATATGCTTGGCATCACTTTTGAGCGAGTTAACCGATGGATGGATACAGTGAACCTCCAACTGGCTAAACAGAAGACCGAGGCTGTGCTTATTACTAGCAGGAAAGTGGTGGACACAATCACGCTAAAAGTCGGAGACCAAGAAATCACATACAACCTTATATCCGATATATGGGAGTGATGCTTGATGCCCGACTCAATTTCAAGCAACAAGTCGAACATGTGACCAACAAAGCATCAGAATAGGTGATTACTACTGTCATCAGTAGTCACATCAGTACTAACTTGTGGAATATCCATCTGGGCAGACGCGCTGAACACCCAAGATTAATGGCGAAAAGCTGGACCAGTATATCGTCTGAGTGCCTTAAGAATAGCCAGCGCCTTCCACACCATATCTGAGGAGGCAGTATGCGTTATTTTCGGAACTTTGTATATTAAGGTTCTTGCTGAGGAAAGACAGAACCTTTACCATCGAAAAAGGTCAACATCACTGAGCACTGATGAACTCGGAACAAGAGAAAGGCAAAAGAGCATCGCACGTTGGCAACTACAGTGGGAAGGGTAGATGGACAGTAGCTAAATCCTCCTCGCGGCGGTTCCGGGCCTGGCATACGTAATTGTATTTCCTCCTCTATAAAAAAAAAAACCCCTACTTTGTTCAAAATTCTCCTGGCGATGAAAATACTTATGGTCTTTTGGAACTTTACTATGCAAAAAATTCACAAGGCACACTACCCTCCTCAGTTATCTTTGTGTCAGCTTAGGAGAACGTCTAAATCTTGGCATTGAAGGGATTATTCCTCCGTTTGCAAAGTTTTGGATAGTTGTAATACCTGATTTTTAGATTCTACCGACGGGTTTTACTATTTACCCATTATTTTGGCCCTTTATTGTGCAATTTAATAATAATTTGCCAGGGTCTGCGCTAAGTAGACGCCAATCTCTAGAAAACCACAATTTGGTATTCTGTTGTTGAACGGCAGCTGTACTCCGGCAATTATATATGCATAATAGGAAGATTGTTACCCATTTCATAGCTAGACAAATGCATATTAGGATATTCAAGTACTAAGCTTTTTATGTCTCCTAATGTTTAAAATGAATCCTATTTCTTTCCCAGGTTCAAATAATCGATGGAGCTGACGGTAAATGCACTGTTGAATTCAAGGTAGGACCTGAGCATCTCAATCGCGGTGGATTTTTACATGGCGGATTCACAGCTACAATAGTGGATATGGTGACCACGTACGCATTAATGTCTAAGCCTTGCAATCCCGGTGTTTCAGTTGATTTGCATGTCACTTATTTAAAAGCAGCCAAAGAAGGAGACACAATACTAGTTTCTGCAAATACAATAAAAGCGGGCAAAAAACTAGCTTTTATTGAATGCGTTTTAATGCAGAAAAATGATGGAGCCATTGTAGCCAAAGGAAGTCAAACGAAATTTGTGGAATCTCTGCAGTACTAATAATTTACCAAAATCTTTAGAGTCGCTTGATTGTTAAATAAATGTCACTAATTTCCTGGTACATCTACATTTCGATTGACTTTTTTTTTAATAATAATTTATTTTATTTGGCCTGGTAACACTTCATGCGGTACGGTTCATAAATTTTTGGCCCTTTAAATTTTGGGCATTGATTACGTATATTTTTTATTTCAATAAATTTAAATAATTTAATTAAAAATTATTAGTCTATTTATTGCGTGATTCATATGAGAGCTAAGTATTAGTGCTTTTAATGCTATATTGTGCTTTAATTTAAAGAGTACATTTATTATTCTAATATATTTCCGGGTCCTCTTTCATAATGGTGGATATTGTTGCTACTTTTATAAACATTGCAGTTTGTGATCGTGTACACCCTTTATTCACAGCTGTGCTGGGTGTTTTCTGTTTTTTGTTTTTGTTTTAATGTTTTAGTGCATCTCAAACTGATCGATGCATTGATTCTCTCAAATTTTGGTTTTAAAATTAAATTAACAATGGTTATTTTTATTACGTATATTTTCAATTGTAATTTTTAGCGACCTTTTTCAAAAACTTGATTGAAATACTACCGAAGAAATCGGTGTTCATCTCCAGATTCGCCAAGGATATCTCGGTCGATGATAGTAAGTCTTAAATTCCATCGCATTTAAAAATTGATGATATTTAAATTCGTAAGTTGAACTTTGGGGCTGACTGAAACATATAAAGCAGATTATCTGCAAAAATGGGGCACGGATTACTATATTTTCCAATCGGTGCAGTGCTCAGTGGGCCAGATTTTCAAAAAAGCTGGGCAAAACTCAAAAAAATAAAAGTGAACAAAAATGGTTTAAACAAGTTATTTTCTAATCTTTAATGCATTGACTTTAAGCATGTAAAAGCATTTTGATGTATCTTGTTTAGTTTCTTAGTAATGTGATATTATTTATTTCGTAATTTTATTAATTTACATGTAAATTAAATGGGAACAATAAACGGCATTTTTCCTTTTCTACAACAAGTGTTCCGTGCATTTCCGCGCAGTACCACGGTCAGGAACTTCTTAAGGGCACTTAAGAGTGTGACCTCAAATCAAAAAATCTTGCGACAACTTGCGACTTAGTGATTTTTCAACCATCCAGTTTAAGGGCAGTTATCAGAAGAAGCACAGGAGTCAGGTAACCAAAATTATAAAATGTACAGGCTAAGTCACACAAGGAAGTTTTCACGAACTCATACAAACCAAGATTTATTAAATATTCTTCTTGTCTCATCAGATCCTTTAATTTCGAGCTTACAAAAAACTCCAAGAAAAAAATCTAAATCATTTTCAGCTGATGTCATTGCTCTTTTGAAAATGCCTGATATTCCACAAACTATCACACAAAACGAAGAATCGGAAAACGATGAAACCTCAGATGAGGAATAAAACAAAGTTTATTAAAATTTAAAAAATTTTAAAAATTTAGAAAATTAAAAAAAATAAAAAATAAAATTAAAAAAAAACAATAAAAATATTTAAAAAATACCAAAAAATATATAAAATATAAAAAGTAAAAAAAAAACTAAAAAAAAAAAAATAGAAAAAAAATGAAATGCGTTTAAAAGTCCCACCCCATACCTTCTCGTGGTAAAGCGCGTAAGTAAATTTATAAAATTGAAACTAATTGGGCGAGGGCAAATTTTCAAATTAAGTATAAAGGTAGCCTATATATATGTTTCTTTACTGCGGCTATCAAAGTTTTAAGTACACAAATTTTCAGTGTTGAATCTTAATTTTTCAGTCGTTTAACCTCAGAAGAACTTTAGAAAATTGTTGAATTATCTTGAAACCATGTTTTTCAAATTCAGCGCATCAACAAACATAGGTATACTAATTTTTAGTTCGAAATTCGAATTTTTTTAATGTTTTACCTTAAAATGACCTTGAAGAACTCGTTCAATCATCTTAATACTATGTTTTTCGAAGTCGGCGCATCAAAAAACATGGGTATACTAATTTTTGTACCGTTATCTTATTAATTAGAGTTTTGGCCAGCTTTTTTGAAAATCTGGCCCACTGTGCAATGGCACAACAACAAAACACACGCAATGAAAATATACAATACCTCAAAATATGCTACACCAAACCTATATTAATTTTTATGTAATTAGACGTAAGTTGAATGGGGAACTTTTTAATTTAAAACTAATTCATTCTAAAAGGAAAAAGTTATATACATTAAAAAATAGATAACCACATTATTTCCAACATGTTAACAGAATTATTAAAGTCAACTTACCGTACTAATTTTTCAAAAAAAAAAATTAAAATCAACACGAGCTGCGACCAATTATTAATTGATATTCTAATTCGAATATGATAATATAATATAAAGTAATTTCGAGGAAAAGTGCCGAGTTACTTGGCCAGTTGTTATGGGAACGACTATTCAATTTATCTCTTTCTTCGGTATGGAAACAGTCATGATACCTTTGCTTAAAAGGTGGGATAATCCTTTGAAAACTATAGGGGATTTGCAAGCTATTATCACAGACAAAACAACTTTTTCTATTTTACCTTTAATTTATTGATCTCGGTACAGATTTCATAAAAGGAAACCCCCTCAAACAAATTTATTTGAATTTCATTTGATCATTCGACTCTCGTGCAAAAACCTGATATTTTTGGAACTCTGCCAGTATTTCTTCAAAGGGTACCTTCTTATCTCAAAATAGAAAACAGCGAATGTTATTTAATAGTACTCTTTTAGAAGCAATTAATGTATCTTCCTTACCTTAATATGTACTACAATGAAACCTCAGGAAACTATGTACCAGCAGGGTAACACACATATGGTTAGCTGTGAATTTGACACAAACTATCCGTGGTAGAACATTACACAAATATAATCTCAATGATTTCTTGAACACTATTGAGGTACAGAACTCCATTTGCTTTTGAACAAAAATTCAAAATACGTGTGTCAACACATATGGTTTCCGTAGCATACTATAATATGATTAAACTAGCGAAAAACAAACCAATACATTTCGTCATTACTCATAGTAAGTGTTTAAACTGATATTGTAACGGATTTATTGATAAATCATCTACTCATAAATCACTCTTGAGTTCCTTGTAACTCACTCTTGAGTTCGATCACTGGATTAATAAATAAAAGTCTCAATTTAATGACCATACACTTATCTTTATTTCTAATTCCAACAACTTAACACTTATTGCTCGTTATTAGAGTTTACAACTTATTGCTTATAGCTTAATTGCACAATCCGGCAGCCCATATATAGTAAATCTTTAACAAAATTCGCTACTAGAACATTCTGGAAACTACGAATTCGCTGTCTAGTTGCTTCTGGCAGTTTATCGTAGATTCTGATTTGTTCTGGTATTCGTTTTCTTCGCCGTATATTTGGGCTTCGGCTATTTGACTAACTATTGACTTGTGATGATTGTTGTTTTTGTAGAACAATCTTCGTAGTTTTTGAGAGTGACATATTTACATGTGTATGCATATACATATGTAGGTTGGTTTATGTATGCATCATTTGTTCGGCAATTTTATATATACATGCATATATGTGTGTACGTATAAATCAATGCGAGCACTATAGTGTATTGATAAGTGATAAAATTATGATTTGAATTTCTGAATCCGTACATTCAAATGCACTTGTGCAGATATACATATGATTATATAAGATTAATATGATAAAAGATGTACATATGTACATATATGTTGTAATAATTTTAATCTCTATTAGTAACAATTATGATACAAAATATTGGGTGGGCTTTAGTTTAGCATCCCACGATTTCAGGGTTAAGGTTGGATAGAGGAGATTCTCCAGATCACGAATATATTGCCGCCGGAAACTTATAGTTTTCGAGATATTTGCATTTTAAGTTGAAAAAATCAAACATTTCATTTTACAATTTCTCGATTTATGGTTATCTTTTCTTTTATATTATGCACTTATTATACACTAACTTTTCACTTCAATGTTTCTATATATTTATTTTATATTAAATATTTAAGTATTTGCTTTAAAAAAACATTTAAGTTTTACACAATTTTCGTTATATGAACAATAACAAATGGGTTCCATGTTGACAGCTAACAAGTGTAGCCATATCTATTATATATATATATACAATATATATTTATATTTTGCAAGCGAACTAAAATGAACAATAAAAGAGGATTATACCCCCAATACATGAACTATAATTTTGTTAATTCCCTTCTATTGATAAATTATGGTATTGGATTGGCCAGGGTTATTTGAAGCGCGGCCGAAGGCGCGTTTGACGCGATTGAATTATGACCACCCCGGTGTAGGACCGACCAGGGTTATTTTTTTGAAGCGCGGCCGAAGGCCTTCAGTGCAGAAAGAAGTTTGACGCGATTGAATTATGACCACCCCGGTGTAGGACCGACCAGGGTTATTTTTTTGAAGCGCGGCCGAAGGCCTTCAGTGCGGAAAGAAGTTTGATGCGATTGAATTATGAACACCCCGGTGTTGGCCCGACCAGGGTTATTTTTTTAAAGGGCGGCCGAAGAAGCTTGTATACCAGCAAAAGTGTCTTCGCAGTCGGAAGAACTGAACGGGCGTATGCCAGCGCAGGTGTCCTCACAGTCGGAAGAGGAGGAAGCGTGTGTACCAGTACAAGGGTCCTCACAGTCGAAAGAGCTGGAACTGCGTATGTCAGGGCAGGTGTTCTCACAGTTGGAAGAGGAGGAAGCGTGTGAACCAGTAAAAGGTTCCTCACAGTTAGAAGAGCAAGAAGCTTGGATACCAGCACAAGTGTCCTTACAGTTGGAAGAGCAGGAAGCGTGTATACCATCACAGGTGGAAGATCAGCATAAAATTGAACCTGGAACGGATGACTCTGTGCAAGAAGATCCAGAATTGGAAGGTGCATTACATAAGGTGGAGTTGAACCAATGTACAACGATTGGAGAAATAACTACAGGAAGGCCAGTCACAAAATCATATTGGGCAGAACGGCACAGTTTAAAGTTAGTGTATGGCTGCTTGCCCTCTGCGAATGGCAGGCACCTTGCCGTGGTGCAGGGGCTTAAGTCGCAGGCATTCTCGGCATCTCCCAACTGGTGCGAGCGGTGCTTGCACCCTCACACTGGTTGTCAGAAGCCGTATGCGTGCGACAACCAAGAGCTGCCACCTCCTAATCCAGGGTGTTATGCGACTCCC